TAAGACAGCCTCCCCTCCAAACATTCAGAGATTAATGCTATAACGTTACCTCTTGACACATGATCATACAAGTTGCTAGTTCCTTGTTGTTCTTGCCACTAACTGGCCTCATCTCCTCTTCAGCTGCCTTCACAGCCTTTCCATTCCTCCCTGCTTCTTTTGCTTCTGGAGTTCTGAATGTAGCCTATCAGTTTGTGTGTCTGAGTCTTTGCATGCATAGCTCCATCTGTTTTGGATTCCCTGTTTTCCCAGTCTGTGTCTCACTTTTTCCTCATTTAACCCCCAGTTTAACCTTATTCAAGAAGCCTCTCCAGAGAAAGTTTTCCCCACTGTACTTTGGATATATCTGTTTTAACCTTGAAGCATTTTGGATGGTTTTGAGGTTAGAAAGAAATCATTATGTGCATACACTCATGTACTTAAGTTCCTGTTAATTTTTTTAGCCAAATATACAGAAACTCCTAGTGAAATGGGGCAGCAGGAACAGAACAACATGTCTTGGCATGGTGTTTCCCTGGCTCCTTCATTGTCTGATGGAGGCACAGTGGTTGGTGGAGTTCACTGTGGTTCTGCCAGAATGGAGAAAACTTGAATTCTTGCTACATCATTACCCTTTTATACATTAGTTTTACCTATTCATTCTGAAAGCTCTTGTGCTATATGCTTTCCTTAGAAGAATTTTTTTTAGATTGCCATTGTTTTTTGATCATTGAATGAAATTCAGCGTCATTAAGGCCATGCTATCCTCTGGCAGGAGAATGCAGAGTCAAAGTTGAGGTGTCAGAGCAGCACTTCTTCTAGATTTCCAGTATCCTTAAGAACACCTTCCCTAAAATTTTCTACCCCTGTGGACATTAATATTCCTTCTTGTATTTTTAGAACCCACCACAGTGGCCTGGGATATAGTAGTTGCTTGGTAAATGTCACTTGTATGAACAAATGGATAAATGTAACATTCTCTGTGTCATATGTGATCTTGGACACTTGATTTTTAACCAACTTTTAAAAAAAATTATTTCCAGCATAAACAATATATAGTGTTATATTACTCTACTCTGAGGTACACAATATAGTGATTCAGCAATTCTATACTTTACTCAGTGCTTATCATGATCAGTGTACTCTTAATTCCCCTCACATACTTCCATCATCCCACCCACCATGCCTCTGGTAACTTTGTTGTCAAAGAGCCTGTCAAAGAGCCTGTCAAAGAGCCTTTTTTTTTTTTTTTGTCCTCTGCNAATATTTTTATTTATTTCTAGGAGAGAGAGAGAGACAGCGTGAGCAGGGGAGGGTCAGAGAGAGGGGGAGACACAGACTCTGAAACAGGCTCCAGGCTCTGAGCTGGCAGTCAGCACAGAGCCCGACGCGGGGCTCGAACCCACAAACCGCGAGATCATGACTTAAGCGAAAGTCGGACGCTTAACCAACTAAGCCACCCAGGCGCCCCAGTCTTCTGCTTGTTTTGTTTCTTAAGTTCCACATATGAGTAAAATTCTGTGGTATTTGTCTTCCTCTGATTGATTTATTTCACCTAGCATTATACCCTCTAGATCCATCCATGTTGTTGCAAATGGCAAGATTTCATTCTTTTCTGTATCTTAGTAATATTCTATTGTGTATATATATATAATTTATATATATGTATGTGTGTGTGTGTGTATGTATATATATATATATATACATACACACACACACACCAGGTTTCTGAAACTTTTCTTTTTCATGTTTGTTTATTTTTGAGGGGTGGGAGGCAGGGGGGAGAGGGAGAATGAATAGGGGAGGGGCAGAGAGAGAGGGAAAGAGAATCCCAAGCAATCTGCTCACGGTTAGCACAGAGCCTGATGGGGACCTCAGACTCACAAACTGTGACATCTTGACCTGAACTGAAGTCAGATGCTTAACTGACTGAGTCACTCAGGTGCCCCTATACCACATCTTCTTTATCCATTCATGTGTTGATAGACACTTGAATTATTTTCATATGTTAGCTATTGAAATAATGCTGCAATACACATAGGGGTGCATATATCTTTTCAAATTAGGGTTTTCATATTTTTTGTGGAAATACCCAATAGAGGAATTTTTGTATTATATGGTAATTCTGTTGTTAATTTTTGAGAAACCTCCATACTGTTTTCTCTTGGTGCAGGGGCTGTACCACTTTGCATTTCGACCATTAGTGTATGAGGGTTCATTTTTATCCATATCCTCACCAATACTTATTTCTTGTGTTTTTGATTTAGTCATTTTGACAGGTGTGAGGTGATCCTTCATTGTAGTTTTGATTTGCATTTCCCTGATGATGATTGATGTTGAGCATTTTTTCATGAGTCTTTGGCCATCTGTATGTCTTCTTTGGTTAAATATCTATTCATGTCTTCTGCCCATTTTTCAGTTGGATTGGTTTTTGGTGTTGTGTAAGATCTTTATATATTTTGTATATATAGATCTTTATATATTTGGATACTAACCTCTTATCAGATGTATCACTTGCAGATATCTTCTCCCTTTCAGTAGGTTCTCATTTTGTTTTGTTGATTGTTTCCTTCATTGTGCAGAAGCTTTTTATTTTGATGCAGTACTAATAATTTACTTTTGTTTTTGTTTTTCTTGCCTCAGAAGACATATCTAGAAAAATGTTGCTAAGGTTGATGTCAGAAAAATTACTACCTGTGCGGCCTTCTAGGATTTTTATGGTTTCAGGTCTCAGATTTAGTTCCTTAATTCGTTTGAGTTTATTTTTGTGTATGATGTAAGGAAGTGGTCCAGTTTCATTCTTTTGCTTGTAGCTGTCCAGTTTTCACACCACCATTTGTTGAAGAGGCTATCTTGTTGCCATTGCATATTTTGACTCCTTTGTCATAGGTTTAATTGAACATGTAATTACGGGTTTATCTCACTATTTTGTTCCATGAATGTATGTGTCTTATTTTGTGTCCATACTATGCTGTTTTGATTACTACAGCTTTGTAGTAGATGTTGAAATCTGGTATTGATATATATCCAGTTTTGTTCTTCTTTTTCTTTAAAAAATTTTTTAATGTTTATTTCTGAGAGAGAGAGAGAGAGCGTGAGAGTGAGCGCAAGAGCAAGCGAGCATGAGCAGGGGAAGGTCAGAGAGAGAGTGAGATACAGAATCTGAAGCAGGCTCCAGGCTCTGAGCTGGCTGTCAGCACAGAGCCCAATGCAGGGCTTGAACCCACGAACTGTGAGATCATGACCTGAGCCAAAGTCGGACATTTAACCGACTGAGCCACCTAGGTACCCCTGTTCTTTTTCAAGATTGCTTTGGCTATTTGGAGTCTTTGTGGTTCCATACAAATTTTAGGATTATTTCTAGTTCTGTGAAAAATGCTGTTGGTGTTTTGTTAGGGACTGTAGTAAATGTCTAAATTGCTTTGAGTAGTATGCACTTAAATCATATTTGTTCTTCTCATTCCATGAGCATGGAATATCTTTCCATTTGTTTATGTCATCTTCAGTTTTTTTCATCAATGTTTTATAATTCTATAGTTTTATAGTTTATATACTATAGTATAGTTTATAGTTTACAGGTCTTTCACCTCCTTGGTTAAATTTATTCCTAGGTATTGTTATTATTTTTTGTGCAATTGTGAATGGGAATGTTTTCTCAATTTCTTTTTGCTACTTGATTATTAGTATATTGAAATACATCAGATTTTTATATATTGATTTTGTATCCTGTGACTTTACCAAATTCCTTTATCATTTCTAGTCATTTTATGATGTAGTCTTTAGGGTTTTCTGTATATAGTATCATGTCATCTGTAATAGCAGAAATTTTACTTCTTCCTTACTGATTTGGGTGCCTTTTATTTCTTTTTCTTACCTGGTTGCCATGGCTAGGACTTCCAGTACTATGGTGAATAATAGAAGAATTTTTGGGGTGCCTAGGTAGGTTAGTTGGTTGAGCATCCAACTTGATTTCTGCTCAGGTCATGATCCCAGGGTTGTGGGACTGAGCCTTGTGTCAGACACCACACAGAGCATGGAACCTGCTTGAGATTCTCTCTCTCTCTCTCTCTCTCTCTCTCTCCCTCTCCCCTTTTACCCTCTCCCCTGCTTGCATGCTCTCTCACTCTCTCTCACTCTAAAAAAAAGTCTTAATGTGCATTGTTGAATTCCACCTTTAAAACAAAACAAAAAGAATTTTTGCATTTGTGTTCATCAGATATTGGCCTGTAGTGCTCTTTTTTTGTGGTGCCTTTATCTGCTTTTTAACTATCTTTGAATAATTTTGTACAATGTATATGAATAGACCATCCATTCATACTGGTTTTTTTTTTTTTTTTTTTTTACAGCTAGTAGGTCAACTCTTCTGAGATGGATGGGCATAGGTTTTTAGTTTCTTTTGATTTCAGTCCTTGCCTCCTTGACTTGCTCTATCTTCTTGCCTTCCAATCAAGCCCTGGTCTAGGGTCTTGGGAAATAAAATAGGATATACAGTCCCTGGGCTCATCGAGGAGAGAGCCTTATAGAAGGAGCCTGATTATAAAGAGATCAGGGTGGTGAGGTGTAAGCTTGCTGGAATGACAAGCTCTCTGGGGTTTTCTGGGACTGTCAGGGGAGGGGCAAGAAGCCTGTCCTGGAGATTGTAGTGATGTAGCCATCTCCTTAAGGGTGACTAGTTTATTTACCATTCACCTGCACATAACAAAAAGGCTTCCTATTGCTCAGTTTAAAGAAAACAGGTTAGCTTAAAAATACAGGTTCTAACTGGGGTTCTTGGTCTTTGCTTTGAAGTGCAGAAGCCCTTGCTCATTTGCCTCATTCCCATAATTTGATACGAAAAAGCAAAAGGAGAAAATAATGTATGTGGTGTATGTGTGTTAGATGGATGGATTTAGGTAATGGAACACAGCAGAGTCGGGCCTTCATGAATTAATAAATCCTGTTGTCTTATTAGCCAGCTTTCCATTGCAGTGTCCCTTCAAGGACCATATACCTCATGAGCCCTCTTTCTTCTTGGGTTTTAGGTCAGGCTGTCCCTGTAGGATCCCATGTGCGGCTGAATCTCCAGACTGGGGCAAGAGAGGTGAAACTCCAAGAAGAGGATAAGTTCCGAAGTAATTTGAAAGCATTGAAAAAAGGCAAAAGGTATAGTAACAACCCTAGGGACTGGGAGGCAGACAGCACTGATTTTCTAATACTGAAAGTAATGACAATGTTATGTTTCCTACCCAAATTCATGTGGCTTTTTTAAAATATTGAAATTTAGTAGCCTAGAATTTGTGATAAATCTGTCAGGGTTTTGTGGAAATTTACTTGTAGAATCTTTGGAAAGAAATAGTTTGCAAAGCAAATTGATACTTTAGAAAAGGCTGTAGGGGGAATGCTTAACCTGCTTTAAAAATGAAGCTGTTTTTCCCAGTACTTTAAGAGCACCCATTTGAATCCCAACAATTAATGCACTGATTACAGATGAGTCATCTATTCATTAAAACAGGCCTGTTAGGCCTTCTGCCTTGCAGTAATACTTCCTTAGTGAACAATAAAATTGCATTTTAAAGCCTTTAATTCAGACTAACTTTTCCTCTTGTTAGTCCATATTAAAACAGACTTTCTAGTAGTATAAAAGTTCTCCAATGGTGAGAGATTGCCTTATTTTTAATAACCAGTTTAGATTATTTGATTTTGGACAATTTGTCCTTGTTTTTCTGTTCTTTATCTTGAAATACCAAGTTTTATTTGCCTGTTCCTTTTTGCATCAGGGAGGAGGAATCAGGGGGTTACAGGGGCTGCTAGAATTGGGCAATTTGAACAGTTAAAAATACCAGTTATGAGGTTTCTAAGACAGGAACGAGCAAATTATGATCTGTGGGCCATATTGGGACTGCTACTTGTTTTTGTACTGGCTAAGTTGTTTTTAACATTTTTTAGTGGATGGAAAAGCAAAAGAATGATATTTCATGTCTCTTAGAGATTTTAATGTCCATAAATAAAGTTTTATTGGATCATAGCTATGCTCATTCATTTATGTATGGCCTGTGGTCACTTTTCTGCTAACCTGACAGAGTTCAATAGTTGGGACAATTGCCATAAGGCCCACCAAACCTAAAATAATATGCGGTCACAACAGAATTTGTTGCCCCTATTCTAATGCATCTAAGTATTGATAACCAGTAATGGATTGAGCAAGGCTAGTGTTAATCCTTGAATTTTCATCATTTTAACAATATTTTGCAGTTAGATATAAGGTGGAAAAGGAACTTAGAGGCTGAGTACTTACCTGAGTATTTTCCTCGGTGTACTCAACAGAAGGTTATTTAGCCTGTCCATATGCACCTTCTGTCCTGTGGCACCCACAGTCCCACAGAGCAGCCTCTTCTAATTTGGGCAGTTTTTACTAGAAAATTTGACTGTATATTGGGAATAAGATAACAAGATATTTGTACTCCGGTCACCTGGGAGGCTCAGTTGTTTGAGCATTCGACTCTTGGTTTTGACTCAGGTCATGATCTCACAGTTCATGGGATCGAGCCCTGTGTCGGGCTCCACGCTGCTGATGTGGAGCCTGCTTGGGATTCCCTCTCTCTCCCCCTCACTCAAAATAAATAAACTTTTAAAAAAATGATATTTGACCTCTTTATCATCACTCCAAACTGAGAAGGATCTTTATTTTCCCCCATCTCTCTTGATAGGTCTATATCTAGAGGCCATATGATGATTCATTTCTTACAACCCTCAAAGAATCAAATTTCGTTGTCACCTCTGCCAACCTCCCTCCCTCCCTAGCACACATATATACACATATTTCACTGTGTCAGAGAACTTCAGGAAGTCTTTTCTCACATCTGTGCCAAGTCTCATTTTCTAAATAATAAGTTTATTTTAGTCTTGGTTTAAGAATATTGAATTAGGATATTGATTAATTTGGAATATTTGTTTGTTGGTTTTAATACTGTGGGAAGTTATTTTTCCATTTTCTGATGGTAGGTCTTCAGTAGGAATACTGTAAGTCTTCACTAGGAATAATTAATGCTTTATCAGTTGCTCCTGTTTCTGAAGGTTCTGCTCTGGAGTGGCCTCTGAGGTATACTGGACATATCCTCTTTCTTTTCAGCATTTATTACTAGTGGGAAACCTGTCTGAGCAGCAAACCAAAGGCACTGACAAGGTGGGGTAGGTTTCACTGCTATGAGCTCAGTAAGTCTTTGGCTGCCTTTGATGGTGATCACTTCTTCCTGCATTGGACCTCACCTCAGGCTCCTCCTGTTCTACCTCACAGTGTCTGCCTGGCTCTTTGGTATTGGAATGGGAACAGAAGCCAAATGGCAGGGCTAATTTCTGCAGTTGTTACAGTATTTTGCATATCTGCTTATTCTGTTTTGGGAAACAAGATGGAGAAGACCCACAGGTTTCCATCAAATTGTCAAAGAGGTTGGTGGCTACAGAGTTTTAGGTATCACTAGCCAAGGAGAGATGCGGATAGGTCCCTTCAGCCTGATCCATGGCAGCCTCTCCACTAGTCCTGCTGGATATGTGACTGGCCACGCGGCTACCTAGAGCTGTAATGCCTCTGGGCTGTAAAGCCTGGGACAAGGCATCTGACTCTGACTTGTTTCAGAGGCTTTTCTCGGCACTGCCTGACTTCACGGTATATTTGGCTCCTAGCAGCAGGGTGTTCTCTTGTTCTTTAGGTGTTGTTAGGCATTGTTACCTCCACTGGTTTTAGTCCATATCCCTGTCAGTGTCTCGACATTGTATCTCTCTTTTTGCCCTGGAGCAACCGTCTTCTTTGTAGGGATGACAGAGAGAGTATATCCAGGCTGTCCCATCTTGGGTTGAGCATCTACCATGGTACAGTATGACTTTATAGTTAAGGGTGTGGTCCAAGACAGGGCCATTTTCTTGCTCTGTTCATTCATTTCACAAAAGACCTATTGAATGTCTTTGTGCCAGGTATTGGAGATACAGTAGTAAACAAAAAAGGATGCCAGTCTTGTGGACACTAGCAGGAAGATAAACTGAAAAATAAAAATGCATATAAAGTAGTTATAGATAGTGGTAAATAGTAGGCAAGAAATAAACAAGATAATCAGTCTCTGGTGAATACCAGTTTAGATAGGATGATTTGGAAGACCTCATTAAGATGATTTTTGAACTTAGACCTGAAGACTGGTGGGGATTTAGTCATACAAAGAGTTAATTTTTTATGTTTAAGGTTAGAGTATCGCAGGCAGCAGGAATAAGAAGAGAGCCTAGCTTTGTCAAGAAAAGACTTTATCAAGTCTGAGAAACAGGAAAATGATTAGGGTGACTAGAGAGTAGGTGAAAGAAGAAGACTAATAGATGATTAGGGAGAGATAAGAGGAGCCAGATCATATGGAGTTTTGAGGTGCATGTTGAGTGGTCTTCATTTAATTATAATTGTGATAGAGAGCCAGTGGAGGATTTGGGGTGGGAGAATGGTTTAATGTAAGTAAAGTGTGCGCCCGGGGGATAGATTGAGGGTGGATGTAAGAAATGCAGAGACAATTAGGGTGTCATTTCAGAAGATCAGGTAAGACATACAGGTGGTTGAGTCTAGAGTGTCATGATGGAGAGCATATGGGTTTGGAGATTTAATTTGGAGGTTGTGCCAATAGGACTTCTTACCATTTAGATTGGGATTGATGGAAGGTGGTGTGGAGGGCTCTGAGATAAAGAAGTCCCATTTATTGAAGCAGAAAAGATTGGGAGAGGAACATCGTGACCCATGTTTTAGATGTAATAAGTTTGAGGTGCCTGATAAACATTCCAGATCCGAGATTTATCAGGTAGTTGTACCAAGAGTCTGGCTGTCACTCAGGGGAGATGATTGGATCCGAGATGTAAGTTTGGGGGAGAGTATGAAAGTAGAGAAGATTGTCTAGGATTGAACTTCAAGGCATTCCAGTATATAGGGTTCAGGTAGGAGATAAAGAACTAGCACAAGAGTTAGAGAAGGAGGGAGGAAGGGGAAGAAGCAGCAGAGTGTGGTAACAAAAAGCAAGAAAGAAGAGTGTTTCAAGGAGGGAGAGGTGAACTATGTAAATGCTGCCGAGTGGTTGAGGAACATGACGTTAGTGAAGAGTCCATTGGATCTAGTCGTAAATTACTAGTAATTTTTATGACAAGTTTTATTAGGGAATGGTTAGGGAATTTAGATTAGAGCAAATGGCAGTATAAATAGCAGTAATGAAGATGAGAATAGTGAGTTAACACATGACAGTGTGTTCATAAAGTTTTACTCTGAAGGAGAGCAGGGAAATGGTGTGATAATTAGAGATCATGGAGTCAAAAGAGTGTTTGTATACTCAAGGGAATAATCCAGCCATAGGGAGAAATTGATAATGCAGACAGGAGGGAACAGTATAATTCTGGGGGTTAAAGCTTTGCAAAGGGAAGTGGGATGTGGAACTTAAGTTTAATAGGAGCAAGGACACTGTCATTCATTGTCTTAGAAAGGAAAGCAGAGAATCTAGATTTGGTGCAGGTTAGTGTATAGAGCTGATGAGGGGAATATAAAGGAGTTCTTGATGATAACATCTATTTTTCTCAGTGAAGAGTGAAGTGAAAATATCAGCTGAAGATGGTTTTCTGTATGTTTCTGCAGGCACATATGTGCACACTTGTGTGTGTGTAGTTGGGACTGAGAAGAGATGATAGTGAGTGACCTGGAGGAGTGGGACTTACGGCAATAAATGGAGATATGAGACATGATGGGATTTGTCCCGACCAAGTATTAGAGGAGAAAAGCAAAAGCTGTGGCCCTAATACTTAGCTCTCTCTTAGGGGTAAAGGGCAAGGCAGTGGCATCCTCATGCTGTTAGCAGTGGGTGATGCTCTTTTGGGAGAGGGATTCTCTTCCCTACCTTGTAGGATTGTGGTAATCATTTGAATGAAATATTATTTCTAAAGGATTAAAACATTGACTGACACATGCTTAAGTGTTCAGTAAATGGGAGTGATTAGCAATTATTAATTAGTTTATGAGGATTGAGGTTTAGAGTAGACAAGTGTTTTTCTCAGGGTTCTAAGGAGTCTCTAGGATGAATCAAAGACTAAATGAGAAGTAAGCAAAGCCCTAAGCACCTGCCTCTCATGAGAGCTGAGGCCTGCTAGGAACTTAACTGTTTCACTGATGTGCTTATCTTGCCCAGAGTAGTCCAGAAGCCCCTTACTTCGCCATCTCTGTAATCTCCTTAACCCCCCGGCCCCCCGTTGCTGACAGTCTTGTCAAGCACAGACCACATTCCACACTTTCCTTTGTCCATGTCAGTCTTGGTCTGATCTCTCTGCTCACTGACCTGAAATCATTGTTGGTGGCAAAATCCACCCCCCACCCATGAATGCCTCCTCTCCAGTCAAGAACAGTGGTTGTCACTTGGATCACCTCCAGGGGGTTTTGAGAGGATGCCACTCTAATCTCTGCCAGGTTCCTGAGATTACATCCACGTTGGTTCCTTTCCTCCCTCTCCTTGGAGACTGACAATGGAACACGGTTGGCTTTGCTTCTAGTCCTTGATATTTCAAACCCATTCCTTTGTCAGGTTGACAAATAACTTCTGCATCTACTCTGGGCCCAGGAGTTGGTTTTAAAGGTGTGAACTTATCTAAACTGTTTTTGTGAAGAAAAGCTGCTTTGTAAAAATTAGACCAGATATGCATGGGGGGCACAGGTCCTTATTGATCCCTTTATTAGAAGAATATAAATTGGGTGTTTGTTATTGCCCTTGTCTGTGCGCACTACCCTCCAGAAGGTCTGGCCTTGGCACAAGCTGACAGAACAGCATTGCACAGTCATTCTAGACTTAATTTCTACCCAAGTAGCTGCCCCGTGCCATTTTGTTGTCTTTCATGAAATGACCCTTTCTTCAGCTTTGTATTTCCTCTTCTAGCCCTAAGGTAAGATCATCTGTTGGACTTGTGGCTGACCACAGGCAAAGCTAGGGTGGTACATTCTGAGTTAGAGCTAGCCATGGCTTACCTTGTTTGGGAGTACCAGCCACCCAGGAAGTTTCTTGGGAGAGATGGTGCCTCCTTTCTGACCGTCATCTTCTTTTTGGACAGGCTGGACATCAACACCAACACTTACACATCTCAGGACCTCAAGAGTGCCCTTGCAAAATTCAAGGAGGGGGCAGAAGTGGAGAGTTCAAAGGAAGACAAGGTGTGTGATATTCTTTCCAAGGAGTCAGTATAAGCCTACAAGAAGGCCTTGAAGGGACTCACTTCTTCCCAAAAGCTGTTACAGTAAATATAGAGTAATGATAATAATATTGTAAAATAATTTAAAGAGCAGTTAGTGCCAAATAAGTAATCCTTTTTGGACTGTTTTTTAGAAATACCAATAATGGAGCATTTTATTGTTTAGGATCCAACTTCACATTACATGTTTGGGCCTCAACAAATTGAGGCACAAGGCAGAGATAGTTGTATTCTTCATTATCATAGACAAGAGTGAGGAGTGTAGAGAGTAAAACCCAGATTTCTTCACTTAACACTTGGATTAGACAAAAGCTTAAAGGACAGAGGAGCTGGGCTCGGAAAGAAGTCTTGATCCTTGTCCTTTGAACATGTAGCAAAAGTATTCCCTATTCCAGGCCTCAGGTTCCTTAAATGTACAACAAGGCGGTGGGGCTGGTGGGGATGGGGAACAAGAGGATGGCTGATGTTTCCTCCAGTTTTAAATTTGTGTACAAGGTAAGGGAATGAGAAGGAGAAAAAGGCAGAATTGCAGCCCCTTGGTTATGCCCCTAGTGTCTGGAAGGGCTTGTGGGTACAGGCTTATACCAGAAAGAAAGCTTACTCTTTAGATAGTGAACTCACGTGATAGCCAGAGAATGTCGCAAATCAGTTTTTACATTTCCATTTGAATCCTGTCTTTCAAAAAAGCTCCTCCAGTGGCTATTTTGGAGACCTTTGCAAGTTTCTCTTTCCCTCTTACCCTCATAATTCTCTTTTGATTTGTTTGCATCTGTGCCACTGCCCCAGAATCCTGACAGGATCCTGATAAGGATTCTGCCCCAGAATCCTTGATAGCTTGTATATTAAGTGGAGGAAGCCTGAGGTCCCTCAGATCCTTTAGTGTTAAGCAATTGTGAGACGGATCAGCCGTTTTCTTTTCTTTTCTTCTTCCTTCTTTTTGGTATCAGGGAGGACCTAATTAGGATGTGTTAACATGCAGACCAAGTCTCCATGTCTTACTCTTCTTAGTGAATTCACATTTACCAGCATGGAGAGTGTATATGGTATGAGAAGATGAGTAGCAGGATGGCAGTAGCAGCAGCAGTGGGCATAGGAAGGTGATAGATAAAATTTCATTCCAGCACAGAAATATTAACTGGAGTTGGGAGGGTGAGGAAGAGCAAATCCCCATAACTAGTGAAGCTGAGGCCACCGGAGGAGAGCAATGTTTGCCTAGGTACCTGGAGCAGAGATTGACATTTCTGTGGCCAGGGGTTGGGCTCATTCCCACTTACCATCCCTTCACCATGGGCCCCATATGGGCCTGATGGTAGCAAGCAGTCAGCCTCTGTTCCATGTTTTCTCTGTGGGTGGAAGACCCACTGTCCCCCATCTCTTGTTCTCTCTTTTTTTTTTAATGCTTATTTTTTCAGGAGAGAGAGACAGAGCGTGATTTGGGGAGGTGTGGAGAGAGACGGAGATACAGAATCTGAAGCAGCTCTGAGCTGTCAGTACAGATAGAGCGTGACGTGGGCTTGAACTCGTGAGGTGTGAGATCATGACCTGAGCTGAAGTTGGGTGCTTAACTGACTGAGCCATCCAGGAGCCCCTAAATTTTTTTTTAATGTTTATATTTGAGAAAGACAGAGAAAGAGAGAGAGAGAGAGAGAGAGGCAGGGAGACACAGAATCCTAAGCAGGCTCCAGGCTCCCAGCTGTCATTAGGAGTCCCAGAGCCTGATGCAGGGCTCGAACTCAAAAGAAGTGAGATCATGACCTGAGCCAAAGTGGGCCGAAGTCTGACGCTTAACTGACTGAGCCACCCAGGCACCCCTCTTCTCTTTGTTCTCTTTTAATGGCAGTCTTTTTTTTTTGTTTGTTTATATTTTTATTTATTTCTAGGAAAGAGAGAGAGAGAGATAGCGTGAGCAGGGGAGGGTCAGAGAGAGAGGGAGATACAGACTCTGAAATAGGCTCCAGGTTCTGAGCTGGCTGTCAGCACAGAGCCCGACGCAGGGCTTGAACCCACGAACCGCGAGATCATGACCTAAGCGAAAGTCGGACGCTTAACCAACTGAGCCACCCAGGCGCCCCTTAATGGCAGTCTTTGACATTATAAAGTTTGTGTATAAAACTATGAATGTTAAGAAAATACTCTTTTTTAATGTAGAAGCAATAGATTAATTTTTCAGTTGCTGTTTTTGGCAACTGAAAAGAATCCTTTTCCCTTAGAAGAGGAGATCGCAATACCAGTACCCAAATGCAGGATCTCTGTCCCAGATGGTTTAAGGCAGCTGTCAGTTCGAAGATACGGTTGCCATACTCTTTTTTTTTTTTTTTTAAACTTCTGCACAGCGTAGGTTATTGGCTTCTTCACTGAGGTGTTCAGTCCTGGGTTTTTTTTCCTGCTTTTATTTGGAGCCTGTCTAGATTGACTCAGCTCATTGTCAGTGCCCTTGGGACTGGTAAATAAATTGACTTGGAGTAGGTTGGGGAGTTTCTGAGATACCTCAATTTCTTGGCTACAGATAGCATCATACTTTTTATTTATCAGTCTTTAAACCCAGGTTTTATGGTGCTTTTGCTATTTATAAAAATAACACTGTCAAATATTGTGCCATATCCTATCAATGGAAATTTTTTTACTTGAGTTTTTAGGTGGAAGGGTACCAATTCTATTGTATATATTGGTACCTTAGATTTAAATGAACCAATCCTTCCCAGGATCCCTTGCTTTGAGGAAAAGCTCTGTCCAGCCAAAGGGCTGTTGTTGAATCTGACCCCTCTATACCCCTATTACCATACAAATGGCTTGATGCTTTATTATGTCAGCTCTTGTTCACCTGTATCTATAAATTGCTCCATTTAAAAATAGGACCTTCTTAAACTTTTGATTTTGGACAAGGTAGAGTAGACTCATTTCTTACTATTTCTCCTGCTAAGGACAACCAAAAACCTTGGACATAATACTAAAAGCAAATATAAGAAGACTCTGAAAGGTGGGAAGAAGAAAGTAGACTGGCTAGGATCCTTAGAATTGGAAGAATGACATAACAGTGAGTTCCTTGGGCTTTCTTTTTGTGCTTTGTATATCTCAGCGTGGGCATCGGAGGAGCCCACACTCAGGAAATGCTAACAGGTACAGATAGAAAAAGCCCTAACGAAGACTTGGTCTTTGTAGAGAAATCACTAGGAAAAGGGCAGCCTAATAGAACAAACCCCTTTTTGACAATACTTTTGGTTACTTTAGCCAAAAACAATGGAAATCTCCTACCTACCCTGAGTACCAGTGGAAGTTGAATAGGGAACTTGGATGTCTACCTTCCACTTGGTGGTAGCTGGCTGCACTCTTATTCCTCCACCAGAATTGTGTCAGCAGAAGCCAACTGGGGAGGCTGAACTTAGTCCCCCTGCTAATGGCAATGAGATGATGTGATGCAGTGCTCTGCTATCTTGTCCAAGGTGGCGTCAGTGAGAGTTGAACAGAGAGCTGGAACTGCCCCGTGGTAGAAAACTATTCTCTGCTTCCCCTGCTGGTGTGTTACCTGAGACACCAAGTGAGGAGCCTGGTTTCCCACCCTTCATATGGAAGTAGCAGGCTGCTTCTCCTGTTGGGATGGTGTCTTCAGACACCAAGAAGTGTATTTGAATATCTTCTCCTGCCTGACACTACCAAGGTGGTTTTTCATTTGGAGCTGAGATGATGCCATTGTGTGTGTTGGTGGTGTTGGGGGTGGGCCTAGGGGGTGGTGGTGAATGGAGAGTCTGTAGTCCTACATTCTACTTGGTGACACTGACATGGTGTGAGGCATCATTCTGCTCCCCACTCTGGGGCAGTGTCAGTGAGGCTAAGTGATAAGCCTGAACTTCCACCCTCAGACCAGCAGCAATGAAGAAGTGTTTCAGTTCCCCCACCAAGTGATATAGAAGCTAAGGAAAGACCAATGTAGAGTATCCACTGGTGGCAGGTGATTGATGTTCTTTTTCCTAACTAGTAAGCTGTGATAGGATTTTGGAGAGAAGGGAGCTGGAGAAAGGGATTTCACAAATGAAGTTCTGGGTATACTTTCTAGTGACTCATATGAGAAACTGACCAGAATTAACATAGCAGAAGATCTGAGAACTGAACTAAGGTGTAGGGGGTGGGCCTAGGGTGTGGTGGTGAATGGAGAGTCTGTAGTCCTACCTTCTACTTGGTGGCACTGACACGGTGAGGCATCATTCTGCTCCCCACTCTGGGAACACTGCTGGGTTTTTAGATGAGCCTCTGGGTAGCACATAAAGGAAACAGACCAAAATAACCCTCCAAAGGGTCTGGAAACTAAACTGTCTTACAGTTACAGTCATACAAGAAGGATAGAACCAGAATATTAAATGTAAACATTGATTACCTGCTGAAAAGAAAGATTGGATAGATTTCATAGTCTTAAAACTTCATACCCAAAATGTCCAGGATACAAAAAATAAATAAAAACAAAAATAAAACAACCCTCACCATACCAAGAACTAAGAAAATCAAACCTTGAACTAGGAAGGACAATTAACAGATGCACACAGTGAAAGGATCCAGGATTTTTGAATTACAAAGACTTTAAAGCAATTAACATAAAACTGGCTCAACAAACAGTTGTGAAAACTCTTGAAACAAATGACAACCTCAGCAAAGAAATAGATGATATAAAAAACAATCAAATGGAATTTTTAGAATTGGAAAAATACAACAAAATTGTTTAAAAACACTGAATGGGCTCAGTAGCAGAATAGGGAAGAGAGAGAAGAACCAGTGAACTTGACAGAAATTACTAAAAGAATCTAACAGAGGAAATAAATAGAAAACAAGGAATGGAGACTTAGGGACCTGTGTGATTATAACAAAAGAGTTAACATTTTTGTCATTGGAGCCTTAGGAAAGGAGAAAGAATACTGAAAAATAATGAGAACATAAACCAAGAAATAAAGATGGGGAGTGCCTGGGTGCCTTGGT